TAATAGTTTAATTTTGTATCAGGTTGAAAATCAGTTACAAGTACATGCAATAAGTAGATTTAGGTTAACTTTGTTATAAAAATATAACCGGTAAAATAGAATAAATCTACATGTTATTTAGAAAGACTTTCAATAAAAGCATTAAACAAAATACTGCAGTTATATTCTCTAGTCAATGAAAATGATTGACAGTACAGCTAACTATTCGAATAGGTTAATAAATTATAACATTAAAAAAAATATATTGAAAGTTTAATTAAAATGTATCAAACAGTATCATTCATCCTATTACTATGTTATTTGACCTATTTTTGTGCCGTGTATGTTCCTTTCTTCATGTGATCGGTTCAACATTATATCCTGCAGAGTTAAGGTCATCCATACAAAACTAGTTTACAACATAGCATTCCTTTAGATTCAACTAATTTGTTTCAATTCCTTTTTCTTTAATCGAAAGCCATTCCGTCCAAAAATGATTACTAAAGAAACTTTATCAAAAAAATGTCTGTACACAGTTTAGTTAGTACAGAGCAACACTAACAAGTGGCATTTTTGCTTTAAGTTATATGTAAAAGCGTTAGCCATTATCTGTACATCATTCATAGAGTTCATTTACATTAACCTTTCAACTTATTTACCCGGTATTAAGGCCATAGAAATCTCTTTAGAGTAAACTCTGGACAGACCCTAGATGCACTATGAAGAATTTTCTGACATACTAACAATAATGTCCACTGAACACGATTGTCAAATTATACTGAAACCATTATCAATAATGTTAAAGCCATACCAGCAAAAGATAAGTACAGGTTGTCGAAACTTGATGTTTTTGTTTAACATCCTTTCAAAGTCATCCCGTTGACGTTTAAAAATCTCTTAAAATACGTATTCCTATCATTTAACAATTGACAAAACCCTACTCCGTTAAGTGAAGTCCCGTGTATTAAACGTTGTCAAGCTGAAATATTAGAAATTATATTGTTTGTTTGTTATACTTCGTTGTAGTACTAATGAGAGATCTTACACTAATTCGCTGTGCTAGTATTATCATGAAATACTTGCAATGATTTTTCAAATTGGCTAGTGAATAACGAAAGCAAATATCTCAATCAAATATTGAGTAGTTACTGATCTTCAGAGTTTAAACAAGTAGGAATGTTGTTATAGGAAAATGGATTTACAAAAATAGAAACTGATTACATAAGTCGTAATTCTAAAGCTTCATCATCGAATCAGTTTAATGATTATTCATGTCTTAGTTCAATACTAAGCTGATACATATGAATTAAATAGAATTCAGTAAAAGATTATCAGATGATATATTCCTATTTATCGATTGATGTTTCATTGAAATATCGTATATCATCTTTAACAAATATTATTTTAATAGTTGAAATCATGAGTCCATTAAAGTTAAACCACTATGGAAAACCTGGAACCACTGGATGGCCATTTCATCCTAGTACGGGACCCCTTAGCAGTACACATCCACAATCGAGAATGCGGGACTTGAATTCAGGATCTTTGGCTTCTCACATGAACACTTAAATTCTGGACCACTGACCTGGCCAGTATCCAACGGTGTTAATGTCTAACTTCAACAAATTCACGAATTATTTTGCTACATTATATTATTCATTCAGTTCAAACTTGAAGTAAAGTTTCGTAAAGAATCGTAATATATTTGTTAAGTGTCCCTACTGTAGTGAACAGTACACGGGGGGGGGGACAATCGAATGTATTTAACACAAAATTACAGGACTTGCTAATAAAATCTAACAACCATGTAGTAAATACTTGATTTGCAAAATATCCATTAATTGTCTCAAAATGACTCAGACTTCATTGTTCTTGCATTTTCATACAAATCATATCCTGTTTCCATTCTTTACTGTTCGATCCTCTTGTTTCTCTGCTTTCAGACCTTCTGTTTACGACTAACATCATATACTACTTATGTCAATATAAGTAGCACACCACAAACTACTATTAGATACTTGATTTCATCACTGACTATTCTTTCTAATTAGTAATCGATGTATTTGAGTACTTGGTTGTTTTTTTGATTTATTTAACTGAATAATACTATTTACTTGATCTAACTTACACAATGTTTGTTTACCCTTTTTTTGGTGATGTTCATTTAACCAACTTTTTTGTTGTTGTATGTTACTTTTATTCTTACGTGTCACAACAAGTTAAGATAGATATTTGGATAAAATGTTTTTCTTACTTTTTCAAATAATTTAGAACATTTCTTTTTTGTATGTTTACATTGATAAATTTACGATTGATAATCTCATCATAAACAATTTCTTTTATGAATGATTGATTCTAATTTCTATCAATCTAATTCATATTTAACTATGAAATGAATATAAACAGAAGTTTACGTGTTTTCAAATCAGTCATCTATAAAAAGTGTCATAAAAAAATTAATAGATTAAAACAAATGTATAAAGTTATTAGCTTAATTATATTATATCGTTGAAGTCTTTTCAATAATGAAATTATAATGAATTAAATAACTACAAAACAAAAAACCTCTTTAATTTAAAGTGAATTATGATTCATACCATTTATTGTTCGAATCTGTATCTATTAGTTTAACCTTAAACGATTATAGTTTTAAGTGTTTTGATTTAAAACTTAATCAAGTTAACATGGTTCAAAATAAAATAGAACAATTTTTGGTGAGACTCTAATTTATGAACGGCCTTTGGATGAATCTTAAGTGACCTTGAGAAATATTAGCCAATCAGCAAACAGTCAGAATAGAGTGAAAATATGTTATACAAAACCGAGGAGATAAAGTGGATACACTTCTTATACATGGTTCAAAAACTTGTCAAGGTTAGAAAGAGGTTCAGAGGTTCTAAAATTGTAATGCATGCAGTAGAGGAAATCATCCATACAGCTACAGAATAGTCGGCCTCTGGAGCCATGATGAAGTCTCAAAAACTCTTTCAACTTGGACCACATAGTTTCAATATTGTTTATGTGCACTTCGGTTGTTGAGTACACAAAATGCTACTTGTGGATAACGACACGATGCACATAACCAAGCCTATGTAGGAGTCTGTACGCTCTCCAAACATCCAAATATATTGTAGTACCTGGCTGCAGCCAGTTTTAATGGTGCGTTTGTTATCCGATTCTCGATAATTGTTAAAATTTGCCTTAGTTAGGAATTATATATAGGGTTTTCATCACGAACTGACACTAGCTATAAAGCCAGAAATTTATTTAGACGAATGCATGAAAGGCTTTCGCGTTAAAATCCGAGATCTGTTATCGTATACCAGATTGATTCGTTCAGAAATTATAGTCTCGCCGTCTTATTTTTTATAGCCAAACAATTATCACTTTTTGTACAAAATTCCTTGTGAACCGAACGTACGTTAGCATTAAGCACTGAAGTTGACGCTGTAACCTTGAAACCCCTAAATCGCTTCTGATTGGCTCGTCCATAAATTAGAGTTTCACCCAATTTTTTACCCAATTCATTTCAAACTACTGAATTGATTTCTATTATTAAAATTGATATTTGACCATTAACGTGAAATTATTGTCCATTAGGGTAGTTGTATATCTAATTTCAATTCGTTACATTACAGAGCAGACAATATGATACTATAAACTTTAATAAACTGTTCGAATTCTTAACTTTTTTTATATATATGACGAGTAACTAATGTAAATCTCTCATTGTATAAATCAATGAGTATAGGAATTCTTCTTCCAATAAATAACATTGAGTATCTTTATCTAAACAAGTCAGATATATTGAAAAAATTGGCTGTATTTTTCAATATGAGTATCATCAATTAACACAATACACATTTTATGATTGTTCCAAATGAATTTTAACAAAAGGTTCGATGATAATTAAGTAAATATTGTGATGAGTTTTTATACTTGACATAAATGTGTACATAAAGTATCATATTGATTAAATAGAACCCCAAATTACATCAACCTTTTGTGGTAACGTAGATGCGACATAATTAAAAAGTACATTGCCAAGAAAACAAGCTTTGTTAAATGAGAAATATTCACCATTGGAGTATAACTTCAGTGGTTAGCATTGAATACTTTACAATGTGGTTGTCCACCACGTTTTTGTTCCATATAAACTAAGAATTGATTTCAATGGGGAACCTTCAGTATACTGAATCAAGAATCAGATATTTGAGCGAGATAATAATGATTTGTGACAAACTTAACTTTGAATCCTCTTACAAATAATATTTCGATTCAACAGCTTGTTTATGTTCTTAAAAATATTTTAGTGGCCCTTTATCTAACTCCAGTTAAATCATGTGATTGATTGTTATTGAAATATATATGTCTCAAATCCTCTTATATAATCATCAACTTAAATCAAATAAGTTGAATACGACAATGGATGTTTGATTATGTATATTCTGTACACTCATTCATCTGGACAGAGGATCAGAGGTACGAAGCAAAGAGATGAGAGCAAAGCCAAATGACGCTTAGTGGTGTGTGAGCCAACTCGATTAAACCAAACATGCATCGATATTTATAGTCAGAACAAAAATAAGTTACAAACATGTGATGAGTAAGATAAGAAGTGCACACACATACATCCATATAAAAATAGTCAAGGTTGATAAGTGAGTAATTAACAAAGTCAAAATGTAACTCACAAAGAATGAGTAGATTAGACTGTGAGATGGTGAAGATTTGCAGCTCAGGTGGATGATTTTGATGGAGTTTTGTTCTCTAAACTGGATGGTTTGGTTGTGAAGCTTCATCGTTCTTCTGAACGACAAATTTCAGATAGATGATGTCGTTCAGATGAACGATGAAAGCCCTACGACCAAATTATCTAGTTCAGAGAACAAAACCCCATCAAGATTAGACTGTTCACAAGGTAGAATAAGCTGTGTAGGCTTAACATAACAACCAACACTATATCTTCTTGTAATGATGAAGAAAAAATTACATTAAACTTTTATTTTATTTAATTTCAGATACTGGATTTATCTAACAAGTGTGTTATGGAAATATGAAATTTAATAACAATTCAAAAAGACAACCATACCGTAATATACCATATTCACATACGAATTGAACAACTTATCTGACCACATTTGTAAATTCTATCACATTATAATGAATATTACTGAACATACTGAAGATGTATTAAATCCTTTTATTTTAAATTTATTTATAATCAATAAAAGTTCAACATGTACTCAAATGGAATCATTACCGGTTTCCGGTTTGTTCAGTTTTTATCGTGCTATAGGTTTATTATTAGGTCCATTAAATACTATATTAAATGGTTTATGCGTTCATATATTTAATCATCATTTATGGAAAAAATCAATAATGAGTAGAATATTAAAAGGATTATCTATTATTGAACTTGGTATGGGATTAAGTTTATTTATTCATGCATTAATATTTTCACAAAATTCCACATCATCTCATTCTAATCAAAATTTATTCAATATAAATAATACAATTAATAGTATATATCCTAATTATAATATACATATAAATCATTTAAATCAATTTCAACAAGATTCTATTCATACAAATGCTTATATTAAAACAATATGCTCATTTTTTATTACAACTATATCTAGTAGATTTTTAGTAGCATTTCAAATATCACGTAATTGGTCTGTTGTATTATTGGCAGCATATCGTTATGATCAAATATGTCGACCTATTGGTACATCTAGTGCATTTCCACGTGAACGTATACGTTATATATTAATTATTATATTTTTTTTAGCTTGTTTAATTGTTATACCAAGAATATTTGAAAGTGGTATAGTTGTATGTTATATATCAGGAAATGTATCTAAAGATTATCCTTTATTAATTAATTATAAATTATATCAAATTTTATATTTAGGTTTAGTTATGTTTATTGTACAATCTGGTGGTCCAGTTATATGTGTATGTGTATTAAGTGCATTTGTAATAAGAATTATAGCAAAACGTCGAAAATTTCATCGAGAAAAAGAGCAACGTTCAGCTAGAAATTTATTAAGACGTCAAACAATGGAAATAGAAAATAATCAATCAAATTTAAAAAACAATATCATTATTGATAATAATAATACTAATCTTTTACAACGTAATTCAAATGGTTTGACAAAAGAATTAACTGAAAGACCAGCTCCATCAGGTGATAAATTAATGTTTGCTGTTTGTATAACATTTTTTATTTTAGAAACTCCAGCATTTTTCAGTAAAATATTAAATCCTTATTTGGAACAAGATTATCCATTAATTGATTTAACATTATCAGTTATTGCAAATTTATTAATTTATTTAGATTCTACATTGAATGCATTCATTTATATGGCATCTAATCCTTTATTTCGTAAAATTGCTCGAAATGAATGTATACAATATCGTAATCGTTTAATTTGTTGTCAAACATCAAAATCTACTCATCAGTTAACTAGAATAAATCGTATTTTAGACACTGAACAAAATGCTATCTCAATAAACTCATAAAAATACATCATACAACAATATATTAATATGATGATTTGAGTCATAATGGTAATTGTATATGGATACATATTGTACAAATTTTGTTCTTGTAATTCTTTATGTCTTTTGTATTTTCAATTATTTATGACTTCAGAGGTTTCTATTACTATGTGAAAAATGCTTTATGTTATAAAGATGAATATTATTATTATTATTTCTTTCATTTAAACATGAAAGTAAATCTATTATCTATATGGGTTATTATTTCAACTTTTATGTATATCATAAAGAAGAATTGTCATTTAAGCTATATTTTTAACGGTTTAAATTGTGATCTACTAATTGAATCCTAAAACGAATGAGTTTTATAACTAACAAATAACTTAGTATATCTTTCTATTGAGTTAACATTAGAAACACTAAAGAATGTCTTTTATTTCCATAAATACGTGTACAATTGTTAATTACAATCACAGTATATAAAAATTCAAGATTTGTTGTTGTTGATTATTTCGATGTCAGGTAAACATAAAGTTAAACAATTCAAGAATTCCTTATACCTTTCCATCTTCATGAGCTGTGTACTAAATAAATAGCTTAAATTGTGCCGTTTTGAGGTGTGAACAAGTATAAAAGCGGTTTGATTGTTAAAAAATTGTCTTAACCGCTATTTAAGTTTATCATTTACAGTAGTATAAGTCCATATACCTTTGTATCAATTCAAAAATATAATTGGATCTTTGTTACGAGATAGTTATTGCCACGGTTGAAAACGTCCGAATTATTAGATAGAAGGGGATTGAAGAAGAGTGTAAAGCAAATTGAAATATTTATGGTTCTATCAAGTGATAATTAGAATTTGTTAAATGATTAATCAGTTATTAAAAATTCTAAGGTCTTTTTGAAAAAAACATACCTTGACAGATTTACTGAAAACACCAAACATCTAAAACGATTTACTTTGAAAGTGAATGCTTAGGCAATTCAAGAATCATAAATGGTTTGTACTGTGAGAATAAGTGTCAATTAAATTCATATAAATATGTAATCAATGTTGTAGAATACTTCTAAACACTTAACGTTATACTATCTACCATTGTAAATAGTAACTAGTAACTACGTTATAGTGTCGTAGAAAACTGTTATGAAATGTTTAATGCATTTTAAATTATACCTGTTCATTTTTGATTTATCTACCCCAAGTGTAGCAAGTCTCACACCAAGTTTCCCAAATCAATAGTGTACTGGGCTCTTCTTTACAGTTCTTCCCAAGAGTTATTTATTCTTCCCATGTCTGTCTCCGGTTCCTGGTTTAATGTACTCTATGGTCTGCCTTCCTATCTTCTCTCTTAAGGATTTCAAGTTGGAGCTCGCTTTGTGATGTAATTTGATGGCTTCTGTAGTATATGTCCTATACACATTCAGTATCCCTTCCTAATTTCCTCGTAAATTGGAAGCTGGTTTATTTTGTCCCACAGTAGGTTGTTGCTGATAGTGTCTGATCAATATATACAGAGTATCTTACGTAGATAGCTATTTGCTAATAACTAACTTTTTGATGATTATAGTCATCCACCAAGCTTCAGCTTTAAACGACAGAACATTCTCGACGTTTATAATAAAAAGTCTGACTTTGGTGTTGACTGACAGTTATTTTGAATTTTAGTTAATTTTTAACTGTAGAAACGTTGTGCTGACAAAGCAAGGTCAACAATTCACTTCAAAACACGTATGACAATTATTCCCAAATGTTTTACAAGTTGTTGTATAAAAAACAAACATGAAAAGTTTTCTTTATGATTCATTCAGTTTATTCTACATTTCCATATTTGAGCCACAATTGAAATGTATGGATATGTTTTACCTGACATATATCATTGATTATCACTATGAGCAATCTGACAAATTACTTATGACAACCTTAAAAACAGCATATCATAGAATGCCTGAAATAGTTTAGCAAATTACTTGTTTATAAATAATCAAAACAATGATACAGAAACAATGCTTTTTATTAATGATTGATTCTGATACTGCTAAACGTATTATGAACATATTTTTGGGTTAAATTAAATTATTTTTTTGTCTGTCTATTGAATGAAGCATATTAACATATTTATGCTTGAGCAATCAAGAACATAATATATTATATTACTTTATCAATAACCACTTTATCATATTTTAAGTGTTTTAGAAAAATTATTACATTAAAGGTAATAAAACAATGTAAAGTGTCACATGTTACTAATAACCCAACATCAAGTTAACAATCTAAATTATTATACACTAAGCTAATAGTTAGTAAACCAAATACTTTCCGTAAAGACTGAAAGTTCGATACCTAGTACACTTTAAGGGGCATGTAACAGGGGAATATTAAACTTGAACAATATAACTATCTAATCCTAAATGATTTTTAAAGTTGTATGAATAAAATTAGTCTGTGGTGTAAAATATAACAACACCAATTCATCATCTAGACTAATAACCGTATCCAAATATTTTGTATATCTTCATAACATGTTACCTAGTGATTCACAATTCAAATGGTCTTAAACATAATATAAACTTTCAAAATGATCAAACATGTTAAAAAGTAACCCATGTAGTATTGATATCTTCGTAGTTTTTTTAAAAAAAAATCAAATCTACATAAAGACTGAAACTTAATAGTAACTGGCCAATTCAGAAAATGTATCTATTTTACAGTAGAAATGAAATTTTGCACGCCATACCGGCCCGCATGCACGCACACACATACACATAAACACAAAAAATAAGAATCACATCTAACAATCTACTCATTTATTTACATTCAATAGGCATCTTTTTAGAATTTTGACCGGATATAAATTGATTCAATTTTTTTCTTGTTCATCAATTTTTTTTTCACTGAAATTTAACTAAATCAAAAAACACACACACAACTAAAACAACCATTTAAACAAATTAATTAAAAACAAAAAAGAAAAATTCGATTTTCTTTTTTTTCTTTTTTCTTTTTGTAAATCAACATTTTATGTAATTTTCTTTATTAACCAAAATAAAAATTCTTTTTATTCTAACTATAATTATTGAAGATTTATTAAATTTATTTACGCTCAGTTAACATAAAAATATTTTTTTCTTTTTCATAATATTTAATTGTAATAATAAGAAAAATAAACTGACCAGTAGAAAAATTTAAATTTTATTCATTTGAAAGCAAAAAAAGAGGAAAAACATAAAAAAGAAGAAAAACATTCAGGAAACAAATAAATTAGAGAAAAATCTTTTTTTCTTTTTTTTCTCTTTTCTATTTTTTCATTATCAATTATTGTACAATAGTATTTAGATAAAAATGATTAATGTATTGAATATACTTTATATATAATAGTTTACATGATTATAATGAGTAAATTTATGATTTAACCAAATTATATTAATGGATAAAATAGATTTAAAGATTATTCATTAAAATAGTTTGAAAATTAAAGAAAAATGTGTACGACATTAATGATGGAATTAATGTATAATATATATGCAATTCATTATGATAAATGAATTTGATTGTGAATGGAAATGAGAATTATTTTAAAGAAATCGTTATTATGTTTTATTAATAATGCTAAATCAGGTCTGTTGTGAGATATCAACTCACTGAAGACAATGGTATACGGTGGCGCAACTTCTTGTATTGATTGAAGTTAGATATTAATACCGTTGGATTCCGACTCAATGGTCTAGTCGTTAAGTGCTCGCCCATGAGACCAATTGGTCCTAGGTTCGAATCCCGCAAGTCGGGATCGTGAATACGCACTGTTAAGGAGTCCCACAATAGAACAAAATGGCCATCCAGTGCTTTCAAGTTTCCTATGGTGGTCTGACTTCAATTGACTCATGATCTCAACAATTGAATGTAGTATACATTAAGATTTGTATTTCAATCATCTTCACTATAGACAGAAGTGTATATCATTATGACATTCTGAGATAACACCTTACTTTCTTGCATGAAAACTTTAAAGATATATAATTTTACTCCATATAGAAAAATTATTAATGAAAATCAATAAAAATACCTATAGACTGGATATAATTTAAATGTCTAATTATTCATTCTATAAAGTTATCTTTCTACTTTATATCAGTTTCTAGGACTATTTAGCTCATGTAAATATTCTATTCAAATGAAATAATTTTAAGTCAGTGACAAAACCATATGACTTTCTGTTTGTTTGTTTGTTTTTTAATGTAACTAAATGTTTTCATAACTCTGCCTGGAGTCCCTTCGGGAGCTACTGCCGGTCCCAAGCCCGGATGAAGGAGCAGGGTTGGACATGGGGTTAGCGACCCCATCCCGTAGGAAACTAACTCACTAAAAAAACGCTAACTAGAAAACCTTTTTTCAAAATGTTTTCATATAAACAGACTTTTAAAAAAAGTATTTAATAGTAAGCAATTGTTTCATTCTTGCAAAGCAAAGTAATTTTTCTTCAATTATATATACTTTTTCTACATTGTCATCTAAAAGAAAATTGAAAATTGACCAAAAAAACCCAAAAAGAACAACAAATAAAACAAACTTTCATGAAATTAAAATATTTTTATAATTTTAAAGTGAATTTTGGTTAATAGTAACTATCGTGACTAGTTAATATGTCATTATTAATATATTGATCATTTGTCTATAAAAATGATTAATTAAGGTGAATATTATGAATACCATTTTATTTAGTTTATCCTGACTCAATTTAATGGTGTTTTTTTCTTTGAGATTATGATAGATTGAAAGGAACAAAGTAGAAGAACAAGAAGAAGAAGGAGAGGAAGAAGGAATAAATTAGTATTATGTAAATTCTAACAGTTTTATCTTTAATGTAACAATGTTTAAAAAAAGATGAAAAGCATTTAAATAATAAAGCGAACTTCCTAGAACAACAACACCAACAACAAAATAATATTGGTTTAACCTAAACTATAGCCAAATAGAATTAAATATAAAATTAAATTACAGTTATGAATTGTAACATTTTATTGACGTTAAAATGTATATAACCCAATTAATGATGGAAAAAGACATAAAAAAGATGTATTAATAATATGGTACACTGATTGAACAATTGTTCTGATAAATGTTAACATTTGTTTGGTTAGGACAGTTAATGGAATTCAGGAAATAAACTTAATTTTTTATATTTTTCCCATGTAAATGTTTGTTATTAAATTCTTGTTTAAATTTAAATGTCTGAATCCGATAGGTTGATTTTCTTAGGTTAGTACTAACAATGTAGACGTCTTAATATGAACAGATATTATTCAGAAGCAGAAAAATAGAGTTGTCGTAATATTATTGAGTTTCAAGTTATGAACCGCAATTGAAGGTGTTGAGTTCACAATTCACTCTTGAACCCATTCATATATAATCAAATATACATTGATAGTGAACTAGCTTCGTCGATA